CATACTTGGTTTGCCAGTAGAAATGGGCTTTTCCATCCACATACAATAGCAGCAGGTCACAGAAGAAGGTGATCTAGGAGAGGCAGGGCAGGCCCATGTCCTGGCCCCAGCCTGCCTTCCCACCGCCTCCCCAGCCCTTACTCTGAGACTCAAGAGCAGGCAAAGGGGTCTCAGTGTACATTTGGGCGGGCCTGGCATGCACTCACCGAAGCCAGAGGGAGCCCACATTGGTCAGACTCACCATGCCCAGCCAAGCAGCTCCAGTGCCCAGAGTGATGGTCGTGGGGATGAGCCCAAACTTCCCAGCCTGAGAGATACCTGAGCTGAGCTTCTCAGGCTATGGTGGTTGTCTGCTCCCACCCCCGCCTTGCCCATCACACCTAGCCCCTCCTACCTGCCCAGTGACAAGAATGTCGAAGCGGATCCCGTAGAGCTTGAAGAGGCTTCGGGCCTCCACACCGGAGGCCTCCCACCAGTGAGTGGCTGTCCTGGGGGCAAGAGAGAGTCTGGTGGTCTGCTCTGCCCACTCCCAGGTTGGGCTGGCCCTCCCAAGCCTCTATCTTGCTTATCCATCAGCCTCCAGCCCAAGTCCTGTGTCTCAGTTCTCTACCGCTGCTGAGGACACCAGGGAAAAGCAAATTGGGATCTGCCTTTTAGAAGCTCCCTGCCTGCTGAGGGGACAGGGACAGAAAGATCCCTTAATAGACAGAGGCAGTAGGGATGGGAGGGATGGAGGCAGGCCCAGGGTTGTGAGGGTCCAGAGGTGAGAACTCCTCAGGAAACGAGGAAGGCTTCCTGCAGGGGACACTTTCAGGCTGGTTTCCAGGGGTCAAGAAGGAGTTCAAGGCAGAGAACGTAGGACCAGTGAGAGAACAGAGATGAGGGGAGTGGGGTGTGGGCAGGGAGCCAGCCCCATGTAGTTGCAAAGGGCTGGGGAGGTTAGCAAAGCCAGGCCAGGCAGCATTGTTAGGGGTGTCATCTCCAGGCCAGGAGGCTGTGTGTGCATATGCATGTGACAGGTGCAAAGGTAACCTGAAGTGGCAGAAGGATTCCAGGTGGGGAAGAGGGGCAGGTCTGCTTAGGAGACTCAAAGACATGACAATAAATGCCATGCAAGATCCTTGAGTGGATCCTGGATTGGAAAATAAAAAGATTTAGGATCAATGATGGCACAGTTGGGGAAATTTAAATACTAGATTTATTCTGCCACTGTTAAATTTCTTGAGTGTGACAGTAGGACAGTGGTCCCATGGGGAAGGTCCTTATTCCTGGGACAGTGTTGAGAGGGCTAAGTGTCTGGATGTCTGCTACTTACTTTCAAAAGGTTGCATTTGAAATCTATCTAAATATATCTGGCTCACTCTAGAGAAGGAGAGAGAAAGCAAATGTGACAAAATGGTAAAAACAAAAAACCTAGTGAATCCAGATGAAGAGTATTTAGGTGTTCATAATACTAATCTTTGGACTTTTCTATGGATTTTAAAAAAATAAAAATAAAACTTCAAGGGAAAATTTAAAAAGAAAGCCCTCTGTGCTGTGGAGGGAAGATACTAGAGGCGGGGTGGGGTGAAGAAGGGGCCGGGGGTCAGGGGTCGCAGCTATAATGTTGGGTGTGGGGACAGATGGGGTGAAGGATGGGCTCAGGGGGAGGCTGGACAGAGACTGTGCTGGGGGACTTGGAGCTGAGGACGCTCCTTCCTGCCCCTCGTACACACAATAGAGTATCCAGAGAGCTGGGCTGGGGTGGGGTCCGTCCTGGCCTCCACAGGAGAACAGGTAGAGGGGGACTTGGCTGAGGAGTGGCAGGTGGGCGCTGGGGGCTATGGAAGTGGTACCTGAAGTTGTAGCTCCGCTCCTGCAGCTGGAAGGAGTAGTGGGGCCGGCAGTCAGAGCCCCCAGCATCCAGGTTGCAATCCCAGAGGACACGGATGCCTACAGCACCACCCTGCACATGGCATATCACCGCTCCACTGACACAATGGCTCTGGACCCTCTCCCTGTGTCCTCCCAGAACCTGACCCCCACAGACCTACCAGCAATGCCAGATCCTCAAAGGCCCCTCCAGCAGCAGCCACAAGGTCCCCAATGCGGAATACTGGGCAGAAGGGACTGGAGAATGCATCATAGCGGCAGTGCTTGAAATAGGTGTTGTCCCAGGTCTCCAAGGCATTGGACCTGAAAGGGGCCAGGCGAGGGGGGCTGTCAGGCTAGCCAGGGAACAAGGAGGATCTGGTGCCTGCCACGACCCACCCATGCTTACTTGGAGAAGTTAAATTTGCTGAAGGTGACAGTATTTTTGATGAACAGTGTGAAGTTCTCAGCCTGGACCAGCAGAGGCTTCCTGTGGGTGGGGTGGGCAGGAGGTGAGAGGCAGGCTCTGCTGGTCTTGGGGCCCTGCCCTGGGGGTAGAGGGAAACTTACACAGGCACAGTGCTACTCTCCACGGGGCACCAGCCCCGGATCTCACAGGTCCTGTGCGTCCCGTTGAACACCACGCACTGGCCTGTTTTTATGCCTTGAAAACATAAGACAAACTCTAGGCCTGGAGTCGGGGATGGGTGAACAGGGGCTATTGGCAGAAAGGAGACATGCAGAGACACCTCCAGGACTGTACTCAGAAGCCACCCAGGCTAGATGACAAGGCCCACTGTTACCATGGCTGTGTGTCCCCGTCTCCCCTTCAGGACAGTCCTCGTGGGTCCAGCAGTTAGCCAGTGGGATGGAGGGATGCTGAGGGAGGTGAGAGAGTAGAATCGTCAGGGGCCCAGGGGGTAACCCAGCCCTGCAGTCCACAGGGATATGCCCCTCCCTGCCTTAACCTCCCAGGATTCTCTGAGTTTGGGAGCACAAGGAAAAGCTGAAAGGTGAAAATAAAAGGAGGTGGTCAGAGCAGGGGGGGTGGGCAGCCCCTGACCAGATGGGGTGCAGGTGCTATATTCTAAGACAAGGCGAGACTCCTTTCCTCCTGATTGTTCTGTCCCTAGTGGGGACAGAAGTGATTCATCAGAGCCCAGCTTCTCTGGTCCCAATTCAGATCATACAACAGGGAAGGTAGAGATGCCCTGGGAAGGGTAAGTCCATGCCAGGGTGAAGGCACTGACCGTGGCAGACAAAGGACAGGACCTTGGTCCAAGGGGCCTGGGTAGGGAAGTAGGACCCCACAGACTAGACCCTTTCCTGCCTGTTCTTCAGTCAAACAGGGACATTAATGCATGCACATAGTGACAGAATTCTGGTGATCAGCCAGGTAGTCCGCTTTCTTGGGTCCCAGACTCCAGATAGAAAGGCACCCTTGAAGGTCAAGTGTTCACACAGACACAGTTCTGCCTGCACAGAGGATGGACACCACTATCCAGGGCGCCCAGCTCAGGGGCGCAGGAGAAACACAGTGCCAGGAAAAGCTGGGGGACTCTGAGAAGCCAAATGAGATGGCGGAACTTTGTGGGGGGTGGGACTGTGATACAAGGGCAGAGGATAGTGTGGGGCCACCTGTTCTCTCTCCTCTCCACCCTGGCTGGGCCACCGTCTCCTCCAACTGGACTGCGTGGTGACCACCACGAGGCCATGCCTCTGCCCTGATCTGCCTCCACCCGGCAACCTGCGTGGTCCATCCTACGCACAGAAGATGGAGTGCCCCTCCCCTGAGCCCCTCAGAAGGCCCTGCTGCTCCTGTGATAGAATTCAGCTCCTTAGTGGAGTTCACAGGGGCCCTGAGATCTCAAGTCACCGCCTTCGCATCTCAATCCAAATCTAGGCTCCAGCCCCACTCAGCAGCAGGTGCCCTTGGAGGTGTTTCATCTCACACAGCTCAGGGCCTTCGCCCATACAGCCCCCTCTGCCTGGACATCCTTGAGATCCCACCTGAGCCTCCAGTCCTGCAGGAAACCCTTCCCGAGGCCCCAAGCTGACAGAAGTGCCTCCCTGGGTCTCCCATCTGTAGCCTCTGCCCCCATCGCAGGACCTGCCGCCTTGGCTGGGCTGTCTGTGCAGGAGTTTCTTGAGGTATGGGAAACAGAGTTTTGTAAGATCAGCACAGGGCTTGGCCCAGGGGTTTGCTTGGCAGGTGTTTGATGAAGGCTATGACATTACAAAGAACACAGTGCATGTGTTGGGAGGGACTAGATGACCAGGAATCCTGAAAGTAGCTGGCAGGAACTCTGGCTAGTCTCATGAAACTGGATTGTCAGATCAGATGAATTACTTCCCAGGCCTGGCAGTTTCTTGGGAAGGGCCAGAAGCCAGGACATGTCCAAAGAGGAATCACACAAATTTCAGAAAACACAGAACCGTGGCCCCAGCAAAATTTCAGAATAGTCTACAAAACAAATATTGAATAGGTCAGGGGTCTTCAATCCCTGGGCCGTGGACCAGTACCAGTCCGTGGCCTGTTATGAACCGGGCTGCACAGCAGGAGGTGAGTGGCAGGTGAGCGAGTGAAGCTTCGTCTGGATTTGCAGCTACTCCCCAGCGCTGGCATCACTGCCTCAGCTCCACCTCAGATCATTAGGCATTAAATTCTCATAGGAGCACCGGTCCCTGGTGCCAAAAGCTTTGGGGACCACTACAGTAGCACATACTGAGCCCTCAGTCACCTGGGAAGAAGGGAGGACATGGCTGGTGACCCAGGCCTAGAAAAGGAACCGGGGACCCATTGAAAGTGTGAGCAACCTACCTCTGGGCATCTGCCTTGAACTTGTTTTGGAGTCACATGGAAATTGGTCACCAAGAAGAACACATTCTCTCCCTAGAAGGCAAGTGTCAGAGTTGGTGCTCACAGGGCTCCCTCAATGGGAGAGGCCAGAAGCTGGCAACTTGGTGTGTGAGGAAAAGGGTCCTGGCCCCATCGAGTCACCAACCCTGTGCCCCAGGAAAATGTCTCCAGTGAGGCAAGTCAAGGCAGAGATGGGAGGCTGGCTCTTCCTGGCCATTTCTGAGCCCATGTCTGCCTCTTCGAGACAAATGTATTTCTCATGTTCACTCCCATTCACTAAACCAGAATTCTCCAAGAACCTCTTGTTTCTAGATACTAAAGTCCAGAGCTGGTGGGAAGGTGGCCTTCTTATTGCACACATGACATGTGGCCAAAAGGCAGGGGAGTAAGTGGTGAGCTCTGCCTGGGTAAAGGGTGGCCAAGGACAGAAAGGGTGGCTGGCACCTGTGTGCTGAATGTGAGATCTGCAAAGGGGATGTAAAAATTAGGCAGAGGGCAGAGGGGTGTGGCAGCGGTCAGGATCTGAAGGGACTTGGTGGCCACCATCATGGACAGGGAGCCTCCCAAGGATGGAAAGCAAGGTTCTGTCACATGTCACACGTGAAAGTTCAGCCTGGCCGCTGCATGGGTACACCTGGGGACCCACTAGAACAGCACAGTTTCATCCGGGTAAGGCGCAGGCAGCAGTTTAAACTATTAGGTGATGGAAAAGACAGGGAGGAAGGACAGGAAGGTGTCAAGCTGGGTCCGACTTTGGCCCTGGTGGATTAAAAGAGGCCACACTGGGAGAGGGGGGATAATTTCTCTGTGGATGTGGTGGGAATGCACCTTGGAGGCAGCTGTGCCCGGGGCAGGTTGTCACCAGGGCTACAGTCTGGGAATCAGTAGGACAGAGGTGAAAACAGGCTGTGGACAATCTGAGTGGAAGAAGAAGGGGCCGGAAATGCAGTGTGGGAGGGGCAGAGGAGCAGTGCCTGACAGCAGCACCCCAGGTCAAGGAGGGGAGCATTCGAGAAGCTCCAGGCCCTGGCCCCCTACACCCCTTCCAGCCCACCTTCAAGCTCAAGCCTTGAGTTCCCAGACAGTCCATTCTTTTCCAGACGTAGCCTTTGTAAATGTAATTCCCCTGGCCTGGCTTCCTGACCTGACCCCTCATCCACCTGTAAACCTCTTACGTGTTCCCGACAGCCCTGTCCAGGTGCCACTCCTCTGAAGGCCCTTCCTGAGCCTGGCCCTGTGACGGAGCCAGCACTCCCCTTTGGCACTGCATGCCTCTCTCACACACATTCACTGCAAGGGTGGTATCGGAGGTGTCAGTGCCCGGCAGCAGCACTAGGCACCCACCTGTGCTGGCTTCACGAAGTCAGCCACGTCCCACAGCCGATTCCCCAGCTCCTTGATCTGGGTCACAGAAACCCCTTTGAGTTTGGTGATAACGGAAATCTGGGGGTCCAGGTCCCGCTCCTGGTAGCCTTTCTTGGCAAGGAGGGCCCACCTGGGGAGGAGGTGATGGGAAGTGTGGTGTGTCCCCAACACATGGTAGTCAATGGCAGAGCTGGCCCCCCACCCAGCCTCTCTCCCTCATATCCTGTAAGCTTTCACACTGCTCAGGCCCTGCCTCCTCTCTACCCTCATTTCTCACCAGAAACACAGGCCATGCATTAGAGAGCCGGTGCCCTCATGGGAGTCTCCTACAGGCACCATGGAGTTGGAGGTGCCCACTGCCACCTCCTTCACCAGCCAACACCTCCCCCTCCCCTGGCTAGACCAAGTTTCCTCCTTAAAGATTCCCCTGACCCAGCTAGAACTGGTGGTCTCTATAGGGGGCCTTACTGCTCCAGCTCTCACAAATGTCAGGGATTACTTCCTGCCCCACGCAGGGTCAAGCTGGGCAGGGGTGGGGGCCATTCTGCTCAGTGCCTAGAGCCCAAATGGGACTGGGGACAAGGCCCAGGAAAAGAGGCAGGTGGGCACACAGGAGGACACAAACACACAACTTGCTCTTGCACCCACTGGCCCCTAGACAGACAGATATCCTTCCTTCTGTCTATCCTCTACCCTGTCCCAACCTGCCCACCTCCACTACCACCAGCCCAGCCCCTGAAGAGTCAAACTCTCAACCCTTATCACAGCAGAACCAGTCACAGTCCCTTCAGAAAGTGTGGCCAGGAGCTGTTCTCTTACCCTACCACGTAGACCATGACCCCGAGCTGCAACAGCCTCTGCAGAACGCCCACCCGCCAGTTCCTGGTCATCACATACTTCTCAGTTTTGTAATCCAGAAGCCCCCAGCCTGCCAAGGCCCCTGGGGAGCCCATGCTCCCAGTCCCTGATGGCTGCCGGGGGCACATGAGTCAGCATAGCAGCTGCAGTCACAGCTGAACAGGAGGTAAGGCAGGAGCCCAAGCGGGGCCAGGCCAGCAGCTATTAAAGGGATAGGATCCACTCAGAGCAGGATCCAGCCTCCACCCCCCACCCCTGGGCTCAGTCCCAACTTCCAGCTGCCCTGAGCCTCCCAGCCTCTCCAGACTCCCTCTGTCAGATCCCTGGCACCGGGAGAGGAGCAGCCCCTGTCCCCTGCCCTCTGGCCTCATTTCCTTGGTTGGTGAGGGAATGACAGGTGTTATAAGTACTTTGAGAGGATGGCGTTGGGGTGATAGTTGCTCAGAGGAAGAGCCAAGGAAAGCTTCAAGAAGACGTGACCTCTGAGCTGACACTTCAAGATTCTGAAGTTCAACAAATTTAGGGAGGAATGTTCCTGGTGGGTAAAGCTGCATATGTGACGCTAGAGCACGGGAGAGAACTGGAACCCACAGAATGAGAGTGCAACTCTGGCTCCAGAGAGGAGAGTGACCGGGTTCTGCAAGGTACAAGGTCCTCCTGTGTGATGCCCCCGCAGAGCTGCTCCCACCCCCCACCACTCAAGCGCAGAGACGACAGTGCGAGATCTAGAATCAGGCCTGTTCCCCAGTCCTTGGGAAGGGGTGCGATGCTGGAATTGCATGGGACCGCAGGGAGAACAGGCGCCTTCAAAGCGTCCCGCGTCGCGCCTGGCCCCTGGCGAGCCCTTACTCTCCCGGCTAGGAGCAGATTCAAGGTCAGCGCAGGCCAGCGGCGGTTTCTGCAGCAACCAACAATACTGGGTTGCCAGGGCGACTGCCGCAGGGGAGAGCGCATCTCTATTGGCTACAGCGGGCGCCTGTTCACTGCATACCACATGCGACTGGTCAAGGCAGCTCGAGCGTCCACCCACATCCCCAGGCCCCCCAATCTAGGTGCGGTGGCGCACAGTCTGGGCCTCAGTGCCCGCAACCACAAAATGAGTGTAAACATAAGGAGTCCCTGCGAGAAGTCTGGGGAGAATGAAGAGGAGGAGAAAGAGGCGGTGGCCACCGCTGGGCATCTTGCAGGGGTCCCAGAGACCGAGGAGAGTTCGGACTCTGACCTGGAGACAGAAGGTGCCCCCAAGCAGCAGGGAACAGGCCTGTCTCTTCACCTTGGGGACTTCTTCAGAAGGGGTGGAAGGGGCAGACGGGAGCCCAGAGGACAGGGGACCCCTGTCCAGCAGAGCAAGGAGCGCTCCCCTCTGTGGGACACTTTCAGGGCAGCTGGAGGCAACTCCAGCCCCGTGCCCTCCCTGAAATGCTCCTAGCCACATAAGGAATTTCACCATTCGAACACACTTCCAGAGTGGTGTTAAATGCTGGGTAGTGACAGAGGACCGGGGAGCCCTTGAAGGTGGCTGGTTGTGCGTGGGGAGGGATCCACATTCTTCCCCTTGTTTCCTATCAGGCACCCGTGGGCTTGGAGAACTAGTCAAGGACACCCTCTACCTGAAATCTTGCCAGGCCCACAGCGTCGTGCCTGCCTCCTGCTTTCTGCGCCAAGGGAGCACACCAGAGCTGAACCTGCGTCACCGTGGCCTGGGGCCCCAGGTACCCCTGGAGGGACCCTAGGGCCAGGTCTGGAGGGAGAGGGCCTGGGAGGCAGCAGCCATGGCTGTAGCCCCCCTTCCTGAGCCCATCCCACACATTCCCTGGCCTTTCTCTGTCAGGCACGTCTCACTCCCCACATCTGGGTGACAGGTGGGATCAGGCCTATGACAGAGTTCAGAATAAGAGCTGGGGAGCCTGCAGTGGGCACCTAGCGTGCTAGGGGGTCAGGACAGACTCCAAGAGGTGAGATCTTGGTGGAACCTAGGACAAGAAATGGGTGTCCCTGGGCACGTGGGAAAGGGAAGCTTTTCCAGCTGGAAGGCAATGAGTGGGCTGAGCCCTGGAAACACGCATCAGAGGAGTAGCTAGCTGTGTCTGGGGCTTTCAGCCCTGGGAAGGACCAGGTGCCTCAGACCCCTCTCTGTCGCAGGGGGCCCAGGCTCTGGCTTCCTCACTAACCTCCAATCCCTATGTCAAGAGGCTGGACCTTCGAGACAACGAGCTCTGTGGGGCCGGTGCAGAGGCCCTGGCAGGTGCCCTGAGTAAAAACAGCAGCATCTGCGGTAGGTGCTGAGCCTGGTGGGCAGGCTTGAATCCTCCCATTCCTGAAGATTCCTTTCCTGAGGCCACTGCCCTTCCCCCACCCAACCTGCCACAGCCAGACCTTCTTACCTGGGGCCTGCTGGTGTTACTGGGGTGGGGCCTCATCACAGGAGTGGAGGGTGTGGAGCACTACATAGTCCTCCACTACAGAGGGTGCACCCTCTGTGGTGCACCCAAGGCTGAATGCCACTCTGTTCCTGACCTGCCCCACCCCACCCACTCCTTTCCTCTGCTGAATAGTACACTCTGCAGGTGGTGGCCTCCCAATGCTTGACTGTAGGTGGGAGAGTCCTTTGACACAGAGGTGGGAGCTGGGCAGAATGAGAGGAAGGAGGGCGGGGTGGAAGTTTGGTGGGGCTAGATCCAAATGCTGCCTCTGCCACTGAAGAGGGGGGTGACCTTGGGTGAGAAGCTCAACCTCCCTGAGCCTGTTTCCAATCTGTGAAATGGCCCCAACAATGCCACTTAGCCTTTGGGGATGTGGTGTGCATTAGTGAAACTGTATCTGGCTCACATAAGTGCTCTGAGCACGACCACTTGGACTATTATTGCCAGTCCCCAAAAATGTGGCAGTGAGGGCTTCTGTGGGTGGGTTATATTGCTGCCAGGCACGAATTATCAACAGGGTGGCTGCATCTTCATCACAGGCATTCTCCATAGCAACACAAAGTAGGTGATTTTAACGCCTTGACAAAGAAGCTGTGGACACACAAGGTAGGGATAGATGTCAGGGAAGCTTCCTGGGGCCTGAGGAGACCCAGCTGTTGGGTGGCAGAGTTGCCATGTACCCCAGGGCAGTCCGACTGCAATGCCCCTTCTGCCTCAGGCCTCAAAGTTTGGGAGATGGAGGAGGGTAGAGGAGGCTGGTGCCTGGCTTTGGAACCCACTGACAGAGGAGTGGTTCCGGCCCCCCAGATGTAGACCTGTCAGAGAACCAGCTGGGAGCAGTGGGAGCCCAGGCCATCTGTGCCACCCTCGCAGTGAACCCGGCCATACAGAAGGTACAGCTGGCAGGGAACGGCCTGGAGGAGCAGGCGGCCCAGTACCTTGCTGAACTCCTGCTGGCCCACACGGGCCTGAAGTCCCTGGACCTGAGCTATAACCACCTAAATGACCAAGCAGGTAATATCTGACCAGGGCCACCATGGGGCACTTGAGACCATCTTCCTGGGGCAGGGGTGGGTAGCGGTTGGCAGGACCACTCTGAGCATCTGTGCTCTGGCTCCTGCTCCCCATGTTCCACTTTCACCTGCCCCTTTCTCACTCCTTCTACACAGAACTCTTAATCCATTCCACAAACATCTCACTGCCCACTGCTACATGCACTGGGAGCTGATCTGGCCACTAGGAATCTAGCCATAAACAAAACAAAGGCCCTGACCTCAAGGAACACATATTAACCAGATAATTCTCCATAATTATTAGCGCTACACAAGAAACAAACAGGGTATGATTCTGGGGAAGAATGGAGATCCCTGCTTTAGAAGGATGATCAGAGTGGCCTCTGAGCTGAGGTGACATTTAAGCTGAAATGTGGGAGGGAGGGGCACGGGGAGGGATTAGGCATGGCAAGACCAGAGGGAGAGCATTTCAAGCAAAAGAGTAGTGAACCTGCAGGCCTATTTCCTAGACTGATAAATGCCAGTGTGACTGGGCTAGTGAGCCAGGGGGGAGTGGCTAGGCCATGGAGTAGAGATGCGACAGGGGGCTGCAGGGCTACAAATCATGGCAAAAGGCATGAAGATTGTATTCCAAGTGCTGTGGAAGACATCAGTGGGATTCCTGGATGTTACCACTTTCATGCCCCAGGGCCTTTGCATGGGCTGTCTGCTTTGCCAGGACATGTAGTTCTACCTGCCTGCCTCCAACCACTCCAATCAATTATAAGAACCACCTGGGACCGTAGGTTAGGAATACAGATTCCTGGGCCCTGGACCTGCTGCACCAGACTGTTGAGTGGGGTGCCTAGTCACCTGCATGTTAACAGATGCCCCAGAAAATTTGTCTGATCCAGAAAGTTTGAGAATCACTGCTCTGTCTTAAACTGCTTAGAGTGAGTGAAGTGGTACCAGTCTTGGCTTGTGAGAATCAGTCCTAGAATATAACTGCCAGAGAGCCAGTTTGCCTCCTAAGAAAATTATTGTGAGAAGTCAGTGAAATAAGAGAAACTCATTTCATACTTTCAGCAAACTAAGTATAGGTGTCTGTCTGGGCCTGCATGGTCAGAAGGGAAGCACCAGAAAGGCAGCCAGAATGGAGGTGGCTGGAAGCTAAGGCCCCATGTAGGCTGCTGCACAAATATAGGGTAGGAGGTCTTCAGCCTGGAAAAGGACAGACTCAGTGGGGCCATTTTGTTTCCACAAGTAGGGATCTGTGGGTGGGTCCGACTCCCTTGAGGGGTGAAGGAGCTTGGGTCTCGGTTCTCCGCCCCCCCCAGCACCGACCCATGGCAATGGTAGTACCTACCTCATAGGTCGGCTGCAAGGTTCACAAAGGCCAAGCATTGGAACTACAGCAGTCGATTCATGCATATAGAAGAAACATCTCACCCTCTAGCTGTTCAGCAAAGTAGGGACTTCCCTACAAACTGGGGGCCCATCACCCTCTCCTCGCAGCCCTGGAAGTGTCTGAGGAAGTAGAAAGTACCTTATCTAAGAACCTGTAGGAGTCAGACCCAGTGCTGGGCATGGAGTCCAGAGTTCTGCAGTCCTCACGGCTTGCAGGGAGCTCTCCAAGGTGCTAAAAGGATCTGCCGTGGCGTACTGGCTGAGCCCCTGGCTGAGAGCACTGCTCAGTTAGTTCACAGGTTTTTCCTCTGTGCATTTCTTCAATCTAGCCTTACTCAGTGCTAGGTGCTGGGACCATAGAGAGGAATCAAATTCAGATCTCTAGGGGACTCTCAGGCTGATGGGAGAGACAAGCCAGGCAGAAAGAGATCTAAGGGTCAGAGCCTGGAAGGATGGAAGCATAGTGGACATGGATCCTGAGGTGGCCCAGCCCAGCTAGGCAAGCAAGGCTTCCTGATGCCAGGAACTCCGGTTAGAAGGATGAAGAGCTGTCAGCCAGGTGAAGAGGGGGATCAACAGTTCCACGCAGGGGGGTACCCAGGAGGTGTGCCAATGCTGGCACTTTTGAGACCTGGAAGCAGGTCAGACTGGTTGAGGGCTGACAGAGTCAAGAGCAGGGTGGGTGGATTGGTGTGGCTTCTGCCCACTTTACATGCTAAATATCTCTCAGGGTTTCTCACCCCACACATCTTCTCCACCATTTCATTTCTCTACCACTGCTGCCTCCTCTCCATCACAACTGTGTTAGCCTTGTCACCTCTTGCCTAGACTATGGAACTCGCCTTTCAACTGGTCCCCTAGCCTTTTGTCTCTGCTCCCACCCACCCCAGTCCATCCCCTACACCAGCTAAGGAATTCAGCCTTGTCACTTCTTAAAGCCCTCCCTGCCTCCTCTCCACCACTAGGGCAGTGCCCAAGACACTTGTCCTAGTTTTTAAGGCCTCTCTCAATTGCCCATCACTCCTACTTCATTTTATTGGATCCCTCCCACACCTCCAGAGCCAGGCCTGTGCTCCCTGTGCCTCTGCACACTCATTTACTCTTTCCTGTGTCTGCTCTCCCTTGTGCATACAGACGTGTATGGTGAGTACCTCAGGCTTCAAGGTTATCTCCTCTGTCCTGACCACCACCTCCAAACAAGTTTAGACCCCACTCTGTTCCCACAGCTCTCTGTGTGTAGTCTATAATAGCGTATATCACATTCATTTGTATTTATGTCTCCCCCATTAAATATGAAATCCTTGGGGGCAGGGCAGGCCCATGTTGGGTTCAACTCCACGATCCTCATGCCCAGCAGACACCCTGGCACACAGCAGGCATCAGTATCATTTTTTGAAGGAATGAACAGAGAATAAGAAGGTCTGTCTTGGTGTTTCTGAAGGGGAGATACTTGGACCGGCCCTGGCAGAAAACACAGGACTCACTGAGCTTAACATAAGCTGGAATCACCTTCGAGGCCCAGGAGCCATTGCCTTTGCCAGGGGACTGGAGGTATGAGGCCCCCAGCCCCACTCCATAGTCGGCCCCTCCAGCCTGTCCCTTGGGGGCAGGTCTCCCAGGGGCCAGCACCCTGCTGTTGCAGCTCTTCAGAAATGAGCCTTGGATCTTTTAAGCAAAGCTTAAGGAATATTTTGTTAGGTGGCTTTAATTTTCCCAGCCCCATTTAATGACTTCAATACACTGTGCCCAGTCTCACATTACTTACTGAGAGGTCCACAGCTGAATGTCGCACACCTTCCCCAGACATCACAGACACTCAGCTGGTGAGGACAGTGTGCAGTCTGGTAACACATGCTCACTGTGGGGCATGTGCAGATGCTTCCTTGAGTGACACCCTTGCACCCTTGGATCCCATGATCTAATAGCCTACCTTCTCCCTTGTATGTTGTGCTTCATAGGCTGCAAGAATGGGTGACTGCAGTCCCTGCCAGGGTGACACAAAGTATCTACAATGTTTCCCAGGTTGGCTACCGTTGTGGGGTCCTTCTCAGGGACAGCAGCTACTGCCTTGCCGTCTGACAGGGGCTGAGCTGGGGTCCTCCCCCACAAGATGGGAGGTCATGCTCTGTCTTCCCAGCATACAACAAGCTCCCACCCTTCTTCCCATCACAGTCCCTTGGGAAGATTTCATTCAACTCTGGGCCCTGGACTGCTCTGTGCCTCAAGGTCCCTGCCCTCGAAAGACTCCCCAAGTGAGCATGGGGTCTGGTCACTCTGTCTCTGGGGCCTACTGCTGCAGGCAAATGCCTCAGTCTCAGGATCATTCATATCCACACCCACCCTCTGTGCTGTGCTTCTAGTTCAGCTCTACTGGTCACCATCATCTGATCCACAATACTCTTCCCTGGAACCTCTGTCCTTCTGCTCTCAGTCCACGCTACTTGTACCTCAGACATTCTGGGCTTTGAGGCTGCAGCCCTGGCTTTCTCCACTGCCACCTGAGATCCCATAGCTTTGCGCTTTTGCATTCCAGGCAAACATCTTCCTGAGAGTCCTGGACATCTCATACAATGGTTTTGGAGACTCTGGAGCCTCTGCAGTGGGCGAGGCACTTAGGACTAACAATGTGTTAGAGGAACTTAACATGAGGTAAGGAGCACAAGGTGTCCCTGTGTCATAGTCTCTGGGCCCATAGCCACCCCAGGGCCCAAGGGCTCCATGATCTTGTTGCCGTTCACAACTTTAATTCCCAAACTTACCACCATCTACCCATGATGGGGCCTGAGCCACAATCCAGGAGCACCTAGCTCCATCCTCTCACTTGAGGTCATGACTTACATGCTGGGCTCATAATTCCTACCACACAAGCAGGGACTTATGTGTATAAAGCCTCTTCCGCAGAGCCTGGTGTGGGCTTGGTGCTTTATGTGAGTTTTCCTCCCTTTCAGAAGTTGACTCTGACAAGTGGGCCCACATGCATGCTCTGCTCAGTACGTGGCTGCTAGGAGGGTCTGCTTCTTCAGGCAAAAGCAGGGTCTCAGCCCTCAGCAGGTAACCAGAGCAGGAGCTGCAAGCCCAGAGGAAAGGAGAGAGGCAGAAGCCTGACAGGTCATGGGCTGCATGGCTGAGCCCCTCCTGGGGTCTGCACAGTAAACAGGGCCTACCTGCCTTCTTTTCTTCTTCATGGAAGGATCCAAGGCCAAAGAGATGTTGAAATTCGAGGCTGGAGTGGGGTCTGAGAAGTCAGAAAGAAAAGGGATTGGCTTCAGAGACAAAGTGGCCAAGAGCCATGCTGGGGCCTGGAGTTTCGGTCCAGCTGGAGGAAGAGAAGACTGGGGGAGGAGCTGGGTAGTTTTCCAGAACAGATGCTGTCATGGTAACAGGTAGGGGGTGCCAGCTGGGGCAGAACACCTGCTGAGCTCTGAGGGCCAGGGAGTAGCAGCTGAACTCCACGGGGTGGGGGTGGGGAGAGGGGGGACGCTCCAGGTGTGTTTGTCGGGTGATCTTGCTGGACACTGGGAGCCTCCAATGAAGCAGGGTTACTATACAGCTTTTACACACTGGCCTGCTCAGGGTCCCCAGGGTGTGAGTGGAGGCTGAAAAGCCCTACCCGGTGGCTGCACTAGCAGCCCCTGGGACAATCTGGTTCTGCACAGTCACTCGGAAGGTAGCATAATATACCTGTCATTCTGTTGCAGCAACAACCGCATCTCTATGGTGGGAGCCCTAAACCTGGGCCTGGGCCTCCGGGTCAACCAGACACTGAGGATTCTTGTCGTGAGTGCTAGCCTGATGGGGGAGGCCCCAGCAAGACCTGCCTGTCCCTGTCCAGACAGAGCCCTCCCCTGCCACATCCCACTCCAATAGTAGCAGAGTACATAGGTTCCAGAGCCCAGATGGCGGAGGGGGCCTCCTGGCTGCCTCTTGTAACCTCTTCTTCCCCTTGCCACTCACTCACCCATCTCTGGCCTGGCCCATGTACTTATTCAAACTCCTCTTCCACCTCCATCCTTCTCTCCCAGTGGCATCACGAAATCCTAAGTCTGATCACAAATCACTACCGTCCTTTCTCTTTCTCAGCCCGCCAGAGTGCTGCTCTGCTGCTGAGGGTTGGGGCACACTTGTTTGCCCTTCATCTTCTCCCCTGCACATCTTCTAGTCTTGCTGGAACCCATGGTCAGCCCAGGCGTACTGTAGGCCACCACTCAGACCTGAGGCCTTGTGTGCACAGCAGGAGTTCCCATCCTCCAGGGTTGCCACTGGGGAGAGGTCAGCTGAGCAGAATACAGAGCAGGGAGGGTGCAGCCAAGGGTGGAGCAGGTCCATGAGGACCACTGTCCCAACAGCATGTGCTCGGAAGACAGTACCTCCAGTTCTAGAGAGCACTCAACCCTGCCCAGCCCTCAGCTCCCTCAACTGGCAGAGAAGCCCCTTGCAGCACCCCCATCCCCAGCCTGAGGCTCATTCCTCTCCCACCCCTGGAACCTAGACCTCTCTCTTAAGCTCTGGATCCACATTTCCACCTGTTGGACAGTTCCCCAGGTATCCCATAGCACGTCGGATTCTGAGTCCAACCTGAAAGCATCATCTCCCTATAAAGGCTGACTCTCAGTGTGTGTGCAGCAGGGTGGGGTGGGATGGGGAGCTCCTTCTCCTTGAGTCAGAAGCTGGGGCCCAGTGCTTGTCTTTCCCTTTTTTCCCCACATCTTCCCTCCTTCATCTCACCTCCTGAGAGTGCTCAGGCTGTCCCCTCCTTTCTCATTTCTCCTCGAGTTCTGTTGACCTGCTAGTTTCTCATCTGTGGCTCTTCCTTCTCATCTGCTACCAGGTGATCTTTCAAATCAGAAATATGCCTCTGTCCCTCCCTGCTCTAAACCCATCAGAGGTTTCCCACTGGATAAATTCGAGCTTGGTAGTGCGTCATTCACAGCATGTCATCGGGATCTGGGCTCTGTCAACCCACCCTTCCCTCCTGCCTTGAAATTTCTCTCTCATCCAAGCTGCTCAGAATTCTCCGTGCACGTAGTGCAGTATTTCATCTCTTTGCTGCTGCTGCTCTTCTTGCTGAAATGCCTAGCTCTGCCTATCTCACCTGTAAAGCTGAAATCAGGTGTTTTATTACTCATCCAACCTTTACCTCCCAGATAAAATTGGTGTACACTCTCTCATTGCACTTATCACATGGCGTTTTTATGATTTTTCTTTTTCTCCTCTTTCCCCAGCAGGTGAGCTCTTTCAGGGTGGGGTTATATCATATGTCTATATCCTTGGCATGGGAACAGAGCCAGGCACTCGGTGGGTGCTCATCCAGTACCCACCTCCTTCCTCTCTTCCCCGGCCCTGCAGCCTCACCCAGGGCATTTTGCCGAATGGAGACACCTACTGAGCTGAGACAGTGGGGCTGTCCTGAGGCACATCATCAGAGATGAGGCATCCCTCCTCCTCGTTTGTGTTGTTCTCCTGGGCTCCCTGGGATCAATTTTTCTCAGTTTTGTGTTCATGTGTATTTCCTAGGTGTCCAGGAATCCCATGAGAAGTGAAGGCTGCTTGGGTGTTCTCAAGTCTGTCCAGAATAATCCGGTGTCTGCCCTGGAGCTGCTAGATTTCTCTGTAAGAGCTTTTCATAAACCTCACCACAGCCCTGTGAAGAAGAAAGTAAGACTTAGAGAAATGAGTGCCCTGGCCACATATAGCATGGCAAAGTCTGAGTTCCACTCTCAGCCTAAATAAATGGAGGTCATGACGCTCCACTCCCACTCCTGACTGAGGGTACTACTGTGGTCTCACCTCAAACCCCCACCTGGATTTTTCATGGGCTGAGAGAGAACAAGCGGCTCAGGAGGCACAGCACTCCCTCTTCACTGATACTTGGATCCGCAGGTTTGGCACTGGCAGGGCAGCCCCCTCCCCGACCCAGCCTGCACTGCCTGCAGGTGGATTGTGGTGCTAGAAGATTCATTTGCATGGCTGTGAGAGAAATCAGGACCCCTTTTCATTCAATTTTGCGTTTTTAATATAGAAACAAATATCACTCTTCTCTAAGGCAGTTAACATTAAGGAGAAAATCCTCAAATATATTTTTTAAAAAGTCTGATCACAAATCACTGCTTATTCTATCTTGATTTATTTCAAGCCAGACTTGAGTCAAAGCCTTTCCAGAGATGTGTTTTCACAGTTCTAGTCCTTCAGGCTTGGGACAACTGGTGGCAAATATCCTTATTCTTTCCTTCTACCTGCCTGGTTTCTATGGCTCCAAAGCCAGAGAGTAGCTTGCCATGACCATGTTCCCTCTGCTCTGAGACTTCCTGTCAGCATTGGATTCTATCATTCTAAAAAATGGAATGATATATGAAATTGTCCTACCAAAATAAATGCTTATTCAATACAATGTATTGTTATTATCAGCAGCTTTCAGTATAATGAAAATACCACAGGGTTTGGAATCAGACAGGCCTGGAACCCAGTCCTGAGCCCATAGCATGGGATCTCGGATTCTAAATTAGAGATCAACACTAATCTACATACAGTGTTCTATTTTCCTCTTCCTTAACTGTTATATTTAGTCTAATTTTAGCCCAGATTTTATCCTCAGATTTAAGGGAAATACTTCTGAATCCTTACCTTTCTTGTAAAACCCTTCCCAGGACTCAGACTTATCTTTATGTGCAACAGGGCCTGCCACCCAGGGACATTGTGAAGGTGGGATGAGATGACAGACCCTATGGAAAGGGCTTGTGCAAAAAAGACTCAATCAGTGCTAGTTCTCTTCCCCCGAACTCCCCTTCTTCTCTTATTTTATTGAAGAACAACATTTATGCTGAAAATTGCACATGTATTAAGGGCAGAGCTCAGTGAATTTTCACAAACAGGATACACCTACGTAACCAGCCCCCAGACTAAGAAATAGAGCAGGCCCCTAGAAACCCCCCTCAAGCCCTTTTTCTTCTCAATTTTAACAGTTTGGGGAGTAATGGCATTTTCATCCATAGGAGAGAAGCTGTCCTAAGGAGCTTCTTTGAGACCTGTGTGTGTAAGTGAAAAAGTCAAGTTCTCAGAAAGTGATAACGTACTGTTTTGTAATGGGTTTCTCCTCAGGACATTCAAGTGAACAGAGAGTTTGATGACCTTGCTAGCTCAGTGAAGGTAATTCTTCCAGGGCTTTGCATAAAGACTGCTGCCCGCAGAGTGGAGTACAAAAAAGAGTTGCTGCCAGTCTTCAGACCGTCCCTACCAGTGTCTGCCCCTAAATGACTGTTGAGTGTGGCCTCGTGATGCCTTCTTACCATTTGACTCTGCACTGAGTCCCCATGTCAACCAGGTGGTGAGTCCTATGGAACCGATCTTCATGATGACTCAGACACCTGTACTCTCCTCTCTACCCACAGCCACTGCGCTAACCTGTGCCTTCCTTTGCTCTCACTCATTCGCGTAACATGAATTCGTACTCTATGCTGCACATTGAACTGGTATGGGGTCAAAGATGCCCAAACAAATCCTTGCCCTGGTGACTTATCTTGGGAGACAATTAAAATATAAGATGGTGCACAACTGGCATTCTCAAACTCAACTTACCATAATGCAAACTGACACAACTTTTTTGGAAGGCATTCATTATGCACCAACAGCCTTAAAACTGTCTGTGTACTTTAAGCCAATGGTCTGACTAATCTGCTGTACAGAAATGCTGTTTATAATAATGGCAATAGGAAATAATCTAAAGGCCCAATAAGAGGGGATTAGTTAACTAAGATTTGGAACTCTGCAAACATTAAACGCCAGGTGCTCAAAGTACATTTAACAATTTATGAAAATGCACATGATTAATGTTAAGTAAGTAAATTAGGATAAAAAAATCACATGGTTTGTCTGGCAGTTCCTCAAAAAGTTAAACATAGAGTTACCATATAACCTGGCAAATACATTTCTAGAAAAGTGAAAACATATGTCCACACAAAAACTTGTTGATCCACATAATAAAGTGCAAATGCTCACCAACTGATGAATGGATAAATAAAATGTGGTGTATCCATAAAATGGTACATTATTTGGCAATAAAAAGGAGTGAAATTTGGGGTGATAAAAATTTTCTAAAATTGATTGTGGTAATAGTTGCACAACTACATGAATATACTAAAAGTAATTGAATTGTATATGTTAAATAGGTGAATTGTATTGTATGTGAATTGTGTATCAATAATGACATTTAAAAAAAGAGGAGCAAAGTATTGGTACATGCTACAATATGGATGGTCCTTGAAAACAATATGTGTGCTAAGTAAAAGTCAGTCGCAAAAGTCCACATATTGTATGATTCAGTTTATATGATTATATAGAGGAGGGAAATCTGGAGGTAGAAAGCAAAGGTTGACTAGGTTCTTTTTATCATTTGGGGGACGATCGAATGTTCTAAAATTGGTTGTGGTGATGACTGCACAACTCTGTGAATATACTAAAAACCATTGAATTGTGTACCACTTGAAATGGGTAAATTGTATGGCATGTGAATTATATCAAGAAACCTGTTACCAAAAAAATAGTTTGATCCAAATTATGTAAGAAAATATGACTATATATGTGTATATAGATATACACACACATACAAAAAAACTATTTGTGGGTTTTTGGATTTTAATTTTTATATTTTCCTGCATATCCACACTTTCTATTACAAGCATGTATTACTTTCTAATCAGAAAAATAAACGGTAATTAAAAACACAAAGTGATACAGGTTACAATGCAGTTATGTGTATGGCATGGTTGGAGCCTTCAGGGAGGGTGTTATAGACTGAATCATGTTCCCTTCCCCCCCATTTATATGTTAAAGCCCAACCCCCAGTGTGACTGTATTTGGAGACAGGAAGTAATTAAGGTTGAATGAGGTCATAAGGGTGGGGCCAGATCTGAAAAGATTAGTGTCCTTATAAAAGGCACTAGAAAGCTTGTTCTCTTCCCCTTCCTCTCATGTGAAGGCATAGCTAGAAGGCAGCCTTCTGCAAGCCAGGAAGAAAGCCCTCACCAGAACTCAACCCTTCCAGACCTTGGTCTGAGACTTCTAGCCCCCAGAATTGTGAGAACATAACTTCTGTTGTTTAAGCCACTCAGTCTGTAGTATTTTGTTATGGCGGCAGCAAAGCTGAATAAGGTAGAAAGACTCACCTTTGTCATTGGAAGAAGCAGGGAGGGATTCTCCTGGTTTCTCTAGCTCTCTGCGGATCTCCCTCCACTCTCTCCCTACAGCCAAATCCATCTTTCCAAAGGCCTGATGACACTGTTCAGAGGCTCCCTAAGTCCTACTCATATCTGTCGTGTTTCATGGCAGGGGTCACATTCATCACTCTCCTCTGAGAAGTTAAGGATCTGGCTGGAACGCGAAAACAGGGTACTATATTGTGGTGGGGGTACGCCTGGATTCCTCTATCTCCCCCCCCACCTTTTCCAAGAAGTAAACATACATTAGATCCTAAAGAAAGTTCAGTTGATCTGTACAGAATGGAAGAATCAAGTGATTGTTCCAAAGTCCTCCAAAATGCGTCCCAATCCAGCTTTTGTGTGCCTTCCCCTCCCTTGTCCCAGGACACCCATTCTTCATTAAAGCAGTAATCAAATCCTACCCAGTTACATGGTGCTGTATGGAAAAGGCCTTTCTGCTCCTGGAAAGGGGTGGGAAAGGGGGGGGCGTGCATACTTTCGGTAGATAACGGTATGCCTCTAGGAGGTGGCCATGTTTGCAAAGACGAGAAAAAGAAGCGGGGGCGGGGGACGAGTGGGCCTGAGGCATCTGGCGAGGGGACTACAGCACAAGGTCGACGTCAAGTCATTCGCATGCTGTCGGGGACTTATGTGCAGGTTAGCGTCCTGTGCCCTACCCAGGTAGACACCACGGCTGCTCCAACCTAAGGTCAGAGAACGGCTCAGATCACTCTGGTCTGCGGTTCGCCTTCCTTGATCCCACAGTCTTCCCGCCAAACCCGCATCCAATCAGAAAGCCCAACACTCCACGAGTCGAGCAACAGCCAATCAGAAGTGGGATTCCAGCACTCAGCCCGCCTCAAGGCCTTCTGGACCAATGGCCGCCTGGCCAGCAGCGGGCCTATAAACGGCAGCGCGCGGACGTGGGCGCGGCAGTTGGGCGCGCGGCGGCTGTGGACGGTTGAGGTCTGGGTGCTGAGTCCGGCGGCAGCAGCGGCAGCGTTCACCATGGTAAGGGCCCTGGGGTGTGGGCCCTAGGCGGGGGTGCTGCAGTCCGGCACGATGGGCAGCACCCCAGAAACTTAGTCTGCGGGCGCCCAGGCGGGAAGGTGGACGAAGCCCGCCACGTGAGGCGGACAGAAGGACCCGGGGTGCCGCGGGAGCGGGCGTCGGCAGAGAGAGGGGGCTGGGAAGGGCGCGGGAGGCCCCTGGAGCGGAGAACCATTCCTGCAGGGGGGTCACCGCGTGGGCTGGAGGCCCCCCGGGTGGGCACTGGAGGTCGCTCGTTCTGAGTTTGTGCGCCGGGAGAGCAGCGGTGACCCCCTGCGTTGAAGTGGGCGGTTGGGGGAGGTGGTGTGGTGAGGAGTTGGCAAGGGCTGGAGGCTCCCGGGAAATTGCTGTAACGAGCCAAGATGGCAGCTGGGTTGTTGGACGGCCTTGACTCCGTCTCTGAGACAACAAACCGTAGTGATGATTC